GCCGCCTACCTGTACGCGCTTCACTCCAATACGCATAACCAGCCAAGAAAGCCAGGTGACGACCACCGCAGCGGCACCGATAAGGGCAAATAATACACAGTATCTATGAAGACCTCAGCGACAGTCTATTCAAACGACTTCTCGCATGAGAGCTCTCACTCACACTGACAGGGGAAGTTGGAACGCATTCATTAACTCCGACCAAACCATGGGCTTGTATTCGATCGTCAAGTTGTAATCAAGTCGGCGGTAATCATCATCGAAATCGCTCAATTCAATGCCTACCACCAGAAGTAATAAACCGCCATAAGAAAGTACGGGGAAATATGCACATGACCAACCACATGTGTCGGTGACAATATGAAAATTCCGAGGAAATTCGCGTTGGCTTCTGTGCACTTCTACCCTGGTTCTCATGTGAACTCCTACAATTAGTCAGGAAACTCGTGAGCTCAGCGTGAGAAAAGCGAACATATATTCCAATACTGCAAGTATCACACCCCGACGTACCCGCTTCAACGATTTTCTTCACCTCCGTCCCGTCCTGCATGTAGGCTATACTGAAGGCCACACTGCGAGGGTACATCCCTGAAAATTTATCAAGACCTTCAACCCCACCCTCACCAGTGTTGGAGATATTACACATGGTCAACTACATGTGACGGTGAGAAAATGGAAATTCTGAGGAAATTCCGAGGGATGATCATTGGTTTTTGTACACTTTCACTCGAATTCGAAAAATTTGAGCAAATTCCTGAGCTCAGCTGAGAAAAGCGAACATATATTCCTACTCCAACACTGTATAGGAAACTCCTGAGCTCAGCTGAGAAAAGCGAACATATATTCCTACTCCAACACTGTATAGGAAACTCCTGAGCTCAGCTGAGAAAAGCGAACATATATTCCTACTCCAACACTGTATAGGAAACTCCTGAGCTCAGCTGAGAAAAGCGAACATATATTCCTACTCCAACACTGTATAGGAAACTCCTGAGCTCAGCTGAGAAAAGCGAACATATATTCCTACTCCAACACTGTATAGGAAACTCCTGAGCTCAGCTGAGAAAAGCGAACATATATTCCTACTCCAACACTGTATAGGAAACTCCTGAGCTCAGCTGAGAAAAGCGAACATATATTCCTACTCCAACACTGTCCCTCACAGTCTCTCCCTACCTTCTCGCTCTGCTGATGCCAACGTAACACCAACTAGATTATCAGTGCCAACCAGAGAATCAAAAAGATCTCCTCCGCGTGCAAAGTCCTCGAATGATCTCGGGTCTCTAGTGAGGTAGTAAAGCTTCGTCTCTTCCTCAATCTACCAATAACCTCTAAGTGACCAGAAGCCGGTTACTCTACCAACCTACCGACATCCAGGGAGTATTCAAATGGTTCACCATAGGATCTTCATATCGGCAGGGTATGATCAGACTGCATTCATCCGAGTTGGCTTCCATCGTTACTTCCAAAGTAGACAGATCTATGAACAGTGGCGGCACCTGAAACCCAACTATCCCTTATGCTAACCTAGCCTAAGTAACTACACTGATGCGTACAAGACAAAATTGAGGACTAAGTGCCCTCAATGACCCCGTGATAGGGAATCATTCAGGAATCTGTGATGCCCTTGAAGGGGAACTCACTTTGAATTTTCCACGTATGGCTAGGAAAACATTCTTCAATCAGTTTCCCGTGTAAATACCATCACAGTAACAACATTTCCCTTATTGTTATCAAACCCTAGAGAGCATTCTTTCTGAGAGTTCCATAGGTCCCTGCTCTCTGTGAGTTGATTCGTCGTGATAACAACTATCCCCTACACAGACAGGCGCCAATCTCACCGGTTTAACGTCCTCTTTATTTGGTATTTTGCAGTTTCCCGCCTCAACTGGTTTGTCTGGGTTCTCCAGAAGATCCCAAATGACTATGTGACTATCGAAATAATCACAACTCGAAAAGAACGGCAGCCACGGTAGAGCTACAGTCTCGATTTCCATAACATTCCAAAATGTACCTGAAAGCTACGCATGCCTTTCCGCTCAGGAATATATGTTTGCTTTCTTCAGCTCAGTGTGGGAAAGTATGGTCAACTACGTGGTTATGGGAATTCTGAGGAAAATTTTGGGAAATTCTGCTTAGTTCCTATACACTTCTACCTGAGCTCGTACGAATAAAGACTCGGCAGAATTTTTCAGAAATTTCCTGAAAATTTTCTATGTTGTCACAATCATACGCCGTCGAGCATGTGCAAATTTTCCCACACTATCTCAGCTCAGCTCAGAAGAGTTTCCTCAATATGCGAGATCAGAAACCGGTGAAAATGTACCAAAATTTTTTACATGGACACTGACACATGAAGTTGACCACGTTCATGTTTTCCCGAACTCTTGCGCTGTACGGCAGGCCTGACCTCCTGGCATTTGAGTGCTTGCTATTGTCCGATCCTCCGTGATGTCCTTCTCGTTGGCCATATCCACAACCATGCTTGGATCCCCAGGAGTGTCGGCCAGTCCCGGAGGCATGTTATATCTACAGTGGGTATCAAGATTCATGAAAGTGAACAAGTTGTCGCTATCCCAGTCCTTAATGGTTCATCACATGTTCATAGCAAGGTTTACATTGTTCATGCAATATAGCTTCAGATCGATTCTTACTAAGCTCGGAAAATAACACACATTTCTCAAACTTGCATACGCACTATACACATCCCTTTGACAGGTGGAAGACTCACGGGAGTTCATAGCCTTTCGCACTGAGCAACTCCCTATTAAGAATAGCCAGGAAAGTCTTCGGCAACCCTGACGATAATTCTCAGGCTCACACGAAGCCGCGTGTTTACCCCAGTGTGCCCTATTTGGTCGCATTATATCCATTCTAACTGTCTCGTTGAAGTAGTGCAGATTCTCCAGATGGCTACCATGTAAGAGATTGAGGGAAATGTTGAACACAACGTCTTCTTCCAAGGCCAGCAACTTCAGTTCAAAGTCCCGGAACAGTTCCTAAAATGACAACCAGCTCGCCAAGAATTCTTCATCGAACTAATTACAAAGGGCGCAGGTTCAATACCGGGGTCGGACACTTGCAAAAAAATGCAATTATTTTTTTCCGAAAATTTTCGCGGACAGATTTCCTGCAATATCACTATTGAAGAGAGCCTCATATTCAGAAATTTTTTGCTTCAAAGTCGTTCTGTAGAAAAACCAACCTCTGTACACAAATTTTTGGTAAATATTTTTCGGGAAAAATTAAACTTTTTTAGAAGTAGGATCCAGAATGTACACACCCTGCATAACACAGCGCTGTCAATACCGGTAAACCACAGATAGAATTGTGACGTGTTGGAATATATATGTTCGCTTTCCTCAGCTAAAGAGTTCCCGTACTAATTACGGGAGTTTATATACGACTCAGGAGGATAGACGTGTACAGAAACCGTTGAGAACTTCCCCAAAAAAATCCCCGAAATTTCCATATTGTCGCCCACACATTCAACTGGTAACTATCCCAACACATTTCCTACGCCATCGCTCTCCTCCAAATGGTTAGGAAGTTCATAGCCCTTCTCCTGCTGCAAGGGGCTCAGCTTATTCGACGATATAACTATATGATAATGGCCGCTACTCTGGCTAGTACTCAGCCTTGTGCCAGAGACTATCTTAGAGAATTCCAAATAGACATGCACCTGACCAGGACCATACAAGGAAGGGCTCCTCCCGAGCTCACAATGTCAAAAGCGTTAAGCTTGAGGTTGGTAAAGTGGAAAACACTCCTATCCGTATCTCTTCGTTGGTCGAAGCCAATGAACTGAACTATAGTCTCATCGTCCTCGCTTATTGGCTCTCCGTATCTGATACAATAATTCCCCCTCCTGTGAACACACGCTGGACTATACGAAACCAATCAGCCTTGTGAGTTCCCTATCGGCAGCGGAACTTTATAGTGCGAACCAAACAGTTATGCATATCTAGATTTAGAGAGTATGGTTATAGAATACGGAATGCTTCTAAAACGTTGGTGTCAATCGATTCACATTGTTATCATGTTGATATTACTCGAGTTGACCTTCGAACTCCCAAAAATTGAAGGTGTTGAAAATATCACTTTGCATAACGGTTTGGTTCACACTGTAGTCTTAAATAAGGCTACGCAAGGCCAGTATGGGAAAATACGCATATTGTCAACTACGTGTGTCGGCGACAATATGGAAATTTCGAGGTTTCTGTACACTTCTACCCTGACTCGTATATAAACTCTAATAATTAGTAAAAAAACTCCCGAGCTCAACTATGGAGCGCGAATATATATTCCTACTCTAACACTGCCCAAGAATGCTCACCTATATGCCGTTTTCAATTGATATTCCGTCGAAGTGCTATCCATCCACTTAACCTCTCTCTCAGGGTCCCATAGTGCAACTTCCTCCCCAGTTCCAGGATACGTTACGGTATCGTTAGCATAACTACGAACAGCTACCATAATGACCATGGGCGAATCCCCGACCCACAGTGCAGCAAGTGAATCGTACACAGTCTGCTCTGCGAATATTTCTTCTTTCCTCAACTTCTTACCGTTGCATAGCGTAATTCCACGGGATAGTGAAACTTTCATTAACAATATTTCCTCATAGTGGGAATTTTCATTATGAAACTTCCCACTACAGTGAGGAAATGTTGTTCACAAGTGTTCATCCTAACTCTTAGTTTCCTATGACACTTATCTTCCTTGCTAGCCTAGCGTAATCATTATGATCACTATAATACTCATTACCGGAGTTTCACCCGTGATATGAAAAACACTAGTGAAAAACATATTTCACGACCACGGCATAACTCGAGTATCGCGCTTTTCCGCGTAAAACAGGTGAAACTCCACTGTGGTGATTATAGGCAAAGGACTACTTGTTAGCGACTCTCATCGAGTCGCTAAGCTAACCCCAAGAATAGCTATCTCTCACAGATTCACAACGGCAATAACAACTCCAATCGGTTTGCAATCCTCCGGCTTTGTTGATTCCCAAATTGATGAAGTGCCTGAATGCGAATAACCTCCCATGAATGACATCGGAATATCAACAGCCACCTTCAGGGCATTTCAAAGTGGTCCACTCCGTATTAACTACCCACACATCACCGCCCGACTCCAGCACACCACATGGGGCACACCCCGAGGCGTTCACAGAAAAGGGTGGCACCTGCCTGAGCTCATGTCAAGAATTTCCTCATTAATTATAGGAGATGACATACGAATTCGGCTAGGAATGTATAAGAAAAAGTAAAAAAATTTTCCTAAATTTCCTCAGAATTTTCATTTTTTCGCCACCATACGTAGTTGACTATGCGCACATTCCCCCACACTGGCAACAAGAGCATTCTAATATTAGTCTCAACCTTCTAAGAGCTCACGAATGTCTCGTCACTGCATCGTCTGCAAATTGACCCTGTGTCCGGATCGCTCTGTTGCACGTATCTGTCGCTCATATACAGCAACTCACAGCAGTATCTCAGCATCGCACTCACTTGGGCACGAAATTTCCTTCATTATCTACTACCATCCAAGACTGAACGTTTCTCAATTCCAAGACAACTCCCATGTCGGTAGTGATATCTACGCCGCTAGTTCCTTCAGGACAATACCTAAATATTATTTTGAAATTGAATTCGATGTTCTCCGCATCGAACCAGTTTGTAGGGCAAGTGTTGGCTTCCTTTTTGCTGGCCCCCGTAGCTTGCTTACAGTAGAAGCCCGGGGGACAGAGTAAGAACCTCATCTCATGCAGTGCTGTCAGCGTCTTGCAGTAGTAGCCCGCTTCACACGGGTAGTCGTATCTACAAATATTATTATTAGAAAAAATACATGGCATATCCAGTGTGAACCAAACCGTGATGCAAAGTAATATATTCAACACCTACAATTTTTGATATTTCGAAAGTCAACTCGAGTAATATCAACATGATAACAATGTGAATCGACTGACACCAACGTTTTAGAAGCGTTCCGTAGTCTACAACCATACTCTCTAATTAGAGAGAACTAAGATATGCATAACTGTTCGGTTCGCACTATAATTATAGATAGATTTATCCAAAATTTCATCATAATGATACAGTAAAAGAGATTTTGTCACTAGTATGTTGTAAGTATCAAGGATAAGATAAAACTGTAGACCGTGATAAACACTACTGTGTGTATGACGTGGTAGAATCGCCGCATGCAAAACCTTCCGGACAATCATTCGCCTGTGAGAGCTCATAGCACAACGAGACGCCCTGAGAAGCGGACAGGCCAACGACCACTCGATTCGGTCTCAACTCACGTCCTCATTCGGAGTGCAATCAGTTTGCTCTTTCGGGGCGAATACAGTGAGGCCTTCCCTGGCACATACGTACCTATACAAAATATAAATGACATTAATGAAGTTTCCACCCGTGATATGAAAAACACTAGTGAAAAAATATTTTCACAATTCACTTCGCAGAGAACGGTTGTGTTATCGGTCGCAGAAATATACACGTCGTATACTTTACATGGAGTATAACACACTCTTTAACGCCTTAAACTCCAATACAGCTACAGCCCTATGAGAGGAAGCTAGCAATGCAGCAGGAGAGTATAATTGCCGAGACATAGCCAGAATCAATTCGCCTCCTCCCAGTTTGGTCGGAATTCGGCAAGTATGAATGCTGTGTTTGAGGTCTCGACTATTTGAAGATATCGACGCCTGTTTGCTAGGACGCGTCATTATTAGTAAGAGCGGCATCCATAATGACAAACAAAGAACTCATCGGGAACCCCCAAGCCACTTACCGGCTCGGACAGTTCTCGCACATGAGCTCGCTGATCAGCTGCCCTCGGTAGTTCCACGTCCCTTGCGGGCATGGGTGGCAGAATATGTTGTCCTCCTCAGCAAAACTAGGATCTCCAATAGACCGGTATGTTCCAGGTCTGCATGCCACTGGCTCCCAGGTACCTATACGCCACGACACGAATCCTCGCAAAATTCTGAGTGCAATAGCGCTCACGATGGATCTATTGTGCGAACCAAACAGTTATGCATATCTACATTTAGAGAGTATGGTTGTAGACTCCGTAACGCTTCTAAAACGTTGGCGTCAATCGATTCACATTGTTAGCATGTTGATATTACTCAAAGTTGACTCTCGAACTCACAAAAGTTGAAGGCGTTGAAAATATTACTCTACATAACGGTTTGGTTCACACTGTAAAACCTTGCATGAAAAATACTCACTATAAATCACTGAGTCGATCCACAGACAAGATTTACAACAGGTCATGATGCTGATCCCTCCCCATCCTTACCATCCAGTGTGCACTCATGACCGTCTGGACAGGCCTTACAGCTCACCTGCCCTATCTCATCCTGGTACGTGCCAGGCTTGCACTTAGAAGGCGTATATGCACCAGTGTAGTCCACAAAGTAGCTGAGCTCAGAGACTTATGCAATTTTGAGATATTATGCCCCTAAGGGTTGGATAACAACGAAAAAATGTTCCTAATGTGATGATGACATTTACATTGGAAACTGTTCGAAGAATGCGCTCCTAGCCATACGTAGAAAATTCAAAGTGAGTTCCCCCGGGAACATTATAGGTTCCTGGTTGAGCTCGATAGTCACATAAGCATGATCATCATCATAGATGCTTACCCTTTAGGAGCTAACACAGGCTCCAGACTAGCCCGCACACAGTAGTGCCCCACAGGGCACTCCCCCTGGCCCCTATAGGTAGTCTCATTCGCTCTACAAAAGTATCTACCAACAGCGTAACGCCACCATCAGTCACTAGGCACACACTACCCTTCCACACATTTCCGTGGCGCTGTTGGGTCCAAGTCATCAACCACCCCTGTCGTCGTACCAGGCATGCAGTACGTACCGTTGCCACATATAACGGGAAGATATCTGGCCACCCCCATCACCATCAATCCTACACGCTCTACTGCAACTTACAATGCATCAATACCAGCGAGTGTGTTCAGAGTTAACACCCCTGGTAGGCAATAGCTTCCGGCTGGACACATGTAACTAGGCTGCGACCGACCAGCATATGCACATACTCGACCGGCCGGACATAGACTCGGAAAAGCCGACCCTTCAAAAGCACATATAGTACCTACAATATGAACCAACCCGTTATGGGAAGTGATACCTTCTCAGGAGTTCGAAAGTCAACTTTGAGTAATAATACCAACATGATAAAAATGTGAATCGATTGACACCAACGTTTTAGAAGCGTTACGTAGTCTACAACCATACTCTCTAAATCTAGATATGCATAACTCTATGGTTCGCACTGTATTCACACACTAATATTCGCTTCCCAATTCTCACCAGCAGTACACGTGCTACAAAGGGAGCTGCCTGCCGAGGGTTGGTACGTACCAGAGGGGCACGGCTGTGGGTACCCTCCTACTGACCGAGTCGTCGAACATGAAAACCTGAGAAAATCCGATCGTCAACCTAGCTGTGTGATAGTTCTCAACCAGTACTTACCCCACAGCACAGGGCAACAGCCGACTACTATTCTCGCTAACATAATACCCATCCGTGACCGCTGCCTCCAATGCCAATGGGACCGTCGACCCTCCCATACACAGTATTCCAGGAATCGAGCATGCGGGAATCTTAAAAACAATAGCAATAGAAGAGCCTTAGATTTCCTCACGTTATCGCTAATTATGATATCGCCGTCTGCTGTCCTCATACCCACAACCCCAGGGGGGCAATAGAAGCCTTCAGGGCAGTCTATGGTCTCTACTGAGACCGGCAGTTCCACCAGTCTGCGATGCTCACTCAGTCTTCGCCGCCGAACTCCTTGTATCTGAACAGCAATATAATGCTAACAGAACGTAAACCAGCCGAGCAGTTGACCTCGACAGGCCTCGCAGTAGCATGAGTTTCCACACATACTAAACCGGCCGAGCATAGTGGTATTTCCTGGTCGTTACCTTCTTTATCCCAACAAACGTATCTGGTAGAGCATACCATTCACGACAGAGGGCGCCCCTTACCCTTGAGGGCATCTCTCCGGAGCTCTAGCAGCGTTGACTCCACACTGTGCTCCGACCGGGCAGATCTCGCAAGTCCAATTGCCAGTAAGATTCTGGTAGTAACCCGCCGCACAAGGAGTAGCAAATCTACACTCAAAATTTCTTCCACAAATCACAACACGCCTTCTCTCACTGTGGCGCTGTCGGAGAAACGGTAAGGTTTCGCGCATACCCTCCTTTGCAGAAGTGCCCCACCGGGCACGCCGTCGGTACACCATCCTGATGAACCTCTGGCCGGTAATACGTCCCAATAGGCACATCAACGTACGCATATCTGACCAAAAGGAGAGGAAAATACCCCACAATAGTCCACACTTACTCCTTGAGAATTTCCGGTTCCCTACCTCCCAATTCCAACAAGCCTGTGAACAACCGATCCTGAACAGTTACATGAGCTAAATCCCAGTACGATCTCAGATTTCGATTATTTCACGAATATCCAACTACAGTGTGAAGCGAGTCGTTATGCAAAGTAATATTTCCAACGCCTGCAGTTCTCGGGAGTTCGAAAGTCAACTTTGAGTAATATCAACATGATAACAATATGAATCGATTGACACCAACGTTTTAGAAGCGTTACGTAGTCTACAACCATACTCTCTAAATCTAGATATGCATAACTGTTGGGTTCGCACTGTTATGACTACCAGGAACAATTCAGTACAACTAGAGTTCAGAAAAAGGGTCGAGACCCCTAAACAGGCCACAACGATCAAGGCAAGCTCACCTGCAGATTGTGAGTAAGGCTGATATCAAGCCTAGTGGGAGGAAGTATAAAGTGTGGCACTGCCGGTAACCGTACCGTGACCATCGTGTCATTCACGAGAGCCGCTTCCGCCCGAACAGGCGTGTCACCAATGATGACGTAGAGTGAGTGAACCTCCTAATAAACATAAGTATACAATCCTTCCTACCACCGAAAATGCAGACCTACTTCTGCACCAGTGGCGTTGATATACTGAAAACCAGTCCCATGCAAGGTAATGAGGTTACCTCCCAAAAACGGTCCCGAGGCCTGTGAAATCTCTGCTATATGTGGTCGAGTAGTTGTCTAAACCACGATCATCACAACACTAGTAGTAGAGGCAGCAGCAACCCACCAGGACAGTTTTATTAGAATCAGAGTAGGCTTCTGGAGTAAGGCCAACCTCAACTTTAACTTCGCTCACTCCCGTCCCCTCGAAATGCGAGATGGGAGGGTTCAACGGCTTACAACGCAGGGCATCTCGTGAGAGATACGAAGCGACGACGATCTCAGGTGCTTGCCCAGCTGCATCGTACCTTGTGGGGAAATGACGTAACTCACCAATGGAGGAATGTAAAAAGCATCGTGGAAAACTATGCACATGTGTTGATGACAATATGAAAATTGTGAGGAAATTTTGGGCAATTCTCATTGGTTTCTATACATTTCTGTTCCGATTCGTATATAAACTCTTATAGTTAGTGAGGAAGCTCCTAAGCTCAGCTGAGGAAAGCAAACATATATTCCTACTCCAACACTGTATAGGAAACTCTTCTGAGCTCAGCTGAGGAAAGCGAACATATATTCCTACTCCAACACTGTATAGGAAACTCTTCTGAGCTCAGCTGAGGAAAGCGAACATATATTCCTACTCCAACACTGTATAGGAAACTCCTGAGCTCAGCTGAGGAAAGCGAACATATATTCCTACTCCAACACTGTATAGGAAACTCTTCTGAGCTCAGCTGAGGAAAGCGAACATATATTCCTACTCCAACACCGTATAGAAAACTCCTGAGCTCAGCTGAGGAAAGCGAACATATATTCCTACTCCAACACTGTATAGGAAACTCCTGAGCTCAGCTGAGGGAAGCGAACATATATTCCTACTCCAACACCGTATAGAAAACTCCTGAGCTCAGGTGAGGAAAACGAACATATATTCCTACTCCAACACTGTATAGGAAACTCCTGAGCTCAGGTGAGGAAAGCGAACATATATCCCTACTCCAACACTGGTACAAAAGTCGCCTTGCTTACCACCATTTGCACACGACTTCTCCAGAGACTATCACTCGGAAGTGACTACCGTGAATGAGAAGACTCCCTTGCAGGGTAAGGTTGTGCCAGATCTGAGGATAATGAGGATTTATAACTGAATTTGTTTCCAAACTACAGAGTGTGTTTCCCTTTCCTGAGCTGCGGAGTTACCTCCTAGTTATGACAGTTCACACACGAATTGGACTTGCGCAATGTACAGAAACGAATGAGAGTTTCCCAAATTTTCCTCCAAATATTCATATTGCCAACAACATGTAGTTGACCATGCGCATACTTTCCCACACTGTCCAATTACACGAGTTGTAAGGATAAATCAGAAACCCCAAGGAGCTACCCGCTGGAGGAGGCTTTCCCCCGCAGACTAAAGCATGACCTAGCCAGACCTCGCAAAGATACAATAAACGATTCCCCACGGAACGATTGATCTATTCACATCACAGACCAAGAGAGTCCCCTTCTCCATGTAGACCTACAGTAGAAGGGGTGATGCTGGTGACGATCGGAGGCGAATAAAACAACCACTGAGTCCTATCTCTCGTAAAGTCTATGCTGTTCGCTGATACTTCCAAATACCTGCATTGCCCACCTTGTCCATGAACAGTAAATAAATAGCGCAATTGGCTCAGTGGACTGACCCACCCTAGGAGGCTATCAATCTCGACGCCATTCGTGAGCCGACGCTCCTCTGGCAACAGCGGAGCGATGCAAACTGCATACGAGTCGGCGGCGGGAATTGCCGGATCAGTGTATGTACCAACCTACAATATCAACACTCATCGACCTCACCAGGCAAGATCGATGGTGCTCACCTCCAGCGCCTGAGTGATAGTCAGATCGAGCCAACGGCAGTATACTGGCCAACTCAGACCAGAGCCGACCAGAGTCACATTCGTTGACTCATCCCACCTCCACGCTGGGAAAGGGAGGACGTCCAAGACCCTTTGCCGTCGGGCGTATTCATAAGTGAGATTGCCGAAGAAATCCTTACCGTCGAATGACAGCATAACCTGACCACCACGTAGAGTGTTAAAACAAATGCGTTTCTGACAGGCGTTCACTTACCTGTACGGTACCCTCGCAAGCGTCTCCCCGAGGATCTCCTCCCATGGCATCATCACAAAGAGGCACGACACATTCAACTCGCTCCGTGTTCAACCAGTCTTTCGCTGGCAGTGCGGCCTGGCCAAACCGGCACTGTAACTCGATCGTGTTCAAAAGGTTAGTTCCTGAACGAGAGTGTACGTTCGAGATGCACCCGAATCGCAGCGATCTGACCGTCAATCAGAACCTCAGTCCCACCACTGAAGTACCCCCGTGTAGGATGAAGACTCTCAAGCGTAGGAGGAGGCAGTACTGTAATATTCTTGCCGGTAGAGACGTAGTGTATCCCATCGAGAGTCAACAGCAAGGGGTGAACTCCTACCACTAGAGGCGGAGTTGTGCATTGCATCATCTGAATGCGAAAGGCTTTCTCATTGGGAGGTACACACATGTCGGGATTAAATAACCGACCCGTGAGGATACGAAGTTCGCCGGTACTGTGCCGTTGCCGAATTTGCACCCGAGACCGGGCGAGTCGGTGAATCTGCTACCAGTGATGAGAATTGAAGTACCCCCAGCGGACATAGCCATATCAGGCAATAGCGCCTCAACGACAAAGTCGCCGACATACGAAAATGTCGCCTGATTAGAGAAAGCTTCCGGAATGGGGCTCAAATGATCAGGTAATTCACTCGTATCGGGGAATAGCTGTAGCCCAGATCGAACGAGAGTTGTACAAACACATCTGCGGGTGCAGTGGCAATAGGGTCAATCTGAGATGAGATGGGGATAATTCGACTCAGGGGTCCGCTCACTTCTGCTAAAGAGGGTGCCAAACACCACAGGGATGTCGAGTTAGTTACATGTGCTAGTACTTCAATGGTCCCAAACCTGAACGAAATATCATAAGACGGCAAAAAAGTCACTACCCGGATTTGAACCGGGGTTGTCACGGCCACAACGTGACGTCCTAACCACTAGACGATAGCGACTCGACAAAACCAAGTCAACGTACGATTATAAGCAGGTGCCACCTAGCTCACCTGCATAATGCAAATCCTTCTGGAAGACCTGTGACGAAGTTGGTTCCTCGAATGGTTATGTTGGCCCCGCCAAAAGAAGCCAGGGTCTGTTTCGGGGACAGCACGTAATAAGCCTCTTGTGGAGATATCAAGCCGTACTGACTGAATCCAACGGACGTTTGTACGCTGTAGAATGCCACTGGGGCCCTCGAGAAAGACACTTCCAGAGCCAATGGAGTTCCCGGCTCATCAGCCTCAGTGGGCGAGAAAGGTCTAATACGGAACTTCGAGGGCACCCCGCAGCGGAAAGTAGACGTTCCCCAATCGAGGCGGCCCATCACGACCACTGTCTCATTCCATCGACAGATCACCGTAGTAGAGACGTTCGGGAAGTGACTGCCCGATACCACCACCGATTCGCCACCAACCACGGAACCAACTGGGGGATATATAAGGCTGAACTCAGGATATCGATGATAGTAAAATGTCGCAGTTGAGTCGCTGATCGAAGAAAATGTCAGGCCCGCGTCCATGCTCACCTGACTCAGTGCATACGAAGGAAGCAATGACCACGTGCGGCTCCTACCTGAACGTTGCGCGGTCCTGTAGTAGACACGAGCGGGGTCTCGCAATCGATGGTCCGATAGGTTGCATTCCACCTCCCGGGAGTAGATATACCACCAAAGCGACAGACAATAAGGAAATCAGCTCTGCCCGGAAAGCCACTCCCTTTCGATGTATACAAATGCACCGTAGTATTGCCATCAACGAGTCCCATGGACGGCTCACAGCGGACAACCGGGTACTCCGAGATGTTAATCACCCAACTGCTATACAACATGGGAAGGATGCTAGTCGAGTTAATCAAAGTCGGCTGGAGATTGCTTGCCAGAATGCTCGCCTTGTACATCTGTAGACCACTTATATTAGAGCTCGTTTGATTATACGGCGCACGAATAGTCTCCGAGGCCTGATTAGTAGGACATGAAGCCCGATGATAGGACGCTCATATACTACTTGAGGCCATACTGGAGGTAGAACTACAGCTGGGGGTGGCGACTCTGACTCATACACTATCGCAATACCAATAGGAGCCGCCCAATGTACCTGTGCCGAGCCCTCCACAGGACACACAACAGTCAGACCTCTTACCTTGTCCAGCGATACCGTGATAGTTCCTCGTCCGTATTCAGGGCCAGAGCCTACCCCCATTGGGAGTTGGCACTCACATGCAGATGTGTTCAAGAACAAAGCTTCAACGATATACCTGAGACAAGTACTGCTGTAACAAGGGAGAAGCCTCGTGTCCTTGCCTTCCATCGAACATACAAGAAAAGTCTTCCGAGGTCGAGAAGTTCTTCCCAACCATCGTGACATTCACACCACTCCCAAACATAACAGTATCTGGATCACAATCGCCTTCACAAGACCGTGCCGCGTTCACCAGGAGATGTTCGTTCGACCGTCGGGATGGTCATCCAAGTGAACACTGCTGTTGGTACTCCTGCAGCCGAGACCAGCTCGTTAGATTCCCAACAGCGGAGCTCAAGCGGGTCTATCACAACAGGGAACCTGCCAAGAAACGAGAATTGAGGCGCACAGTACTTCAGTGAAGTCAGCGAAGGTACCCTGGGGACTGCAACTGCACTTGGGCGTGTGTACTGTTCAATAAGACCGTGGTCATGGCACGCTGGACTCCAGCATAGAATGAACAATTCAGCGGTGGATACATGTAAGGGAAGTCCTGGCCGACCTACTGAAGATGCGTAGATGATAATGCATGTGGGGGAATCCGACCTACCACGGTGACCCACGCGAAGCCTTTGCCTATTGACCATGGGTAAGAGTCAGGGGATAAGGTGTCGATAAAGGCTTCGCTCCAGTACCTGCTACGGATGATGATAACGATGCAAGGATGATGAATAAAGCAATTGACATAAGGGCTGTGCCGAGAATTGAACTCGGGACCTCTCGCACCCTAAGCGAGAATCATACCACTAGACCACACAGCCACCTATATATCACCCATACTTTCGAG